AACACAATCCAATGGGAAATGTGATTCAGAGAAAAAAAAATATGCAATAGACCCACAATGTTAATCAATGAATTACTTTTAAACATTATTTTGTCTCGTTGTGTTTTCTCTTCATAAATGGGCAGATTTTCCAAAACATCACTCCCCTCGCATTTTGTTTTTTGGGGCCTTTTGGATCATACAAAAAAAAAAAAAAGAAGTGCATTCCATTAAGAAAGGAAGAAAAAGTGAAGCGGGAGGTGACGCCTAGCAAAATTGACATTTCTAGCTCTCTCTGTACCATATCTCTTTAAAGATGTTGCTTCTACACATGTGTACAATATGAAAATCCAGAGCAAGGAGCAAAAATGGTAGTGGTATCTTTCTTCCTTGCTCTTTTTTTTGGGGGGGGAAAATGATTATTATTATTATTCTCTCCTTTCTCAAAACAATTTTAAATCTACAAGGAAGGTCAAAGAAGGTCGCGATTCCTGACCCAGAGCTGAACTGAAGGAGCCAGTGCTGTCTGTTTGATGCTCCGACAGAGGTCACTGAACTGAAACTTGTTATTGGCTCCCTGGGTCTAAGAAGCATAGCTTATCCCAAACAATTTTAAAATTACCACTGGCATGAGAATGTCAGGGAAGGAGGGAGGGAGACTCACTGAGGATGTCTAGACTCTGGCTAAGACCGAGCTTCCCTAGAAAAGAGACCCTAAGCACTAAGCAAAGGGGGTGAGTGTGTAGAGGCTAACAAAAATATCAACTGAAAAAGTCTACAAGAAACTTGGGGTGCCCAAGGAGGAAATGCCCAGAATACCCCCTGCCACTTGCTCCAGGGGTTGTTGAAGCCAAGGAATTCCAGACAGGCAAAAATCTATAGGGACTATGTGTGTGTGGGGAGGGGATTTTTTCTTTCTTTCTTTAAAACCCCAAGCTCTTTTCTTTATCGCTTTCTACCAATTCTAAAGCCCGCTGTCAGCCTCTTATGAGCTCTTTAAATCACACATCACAACACCGCCTTCATCGCTCAAGCCTTGCCAAGCAGCTTCTGCAGGTTGTCCTCGATTCTTTATGCATGAGAGTTGTACTCCTACAGAATGAAAGGATCCAAAGGAGTCTGGTTGGAAATAGGTCTTTCCGAAAGCCTTTTTAGTTCTCTAGACCTTTAGTTTTGCTTTGTGAATTTTTAACATAGATAATTTTCTACTGAACTGGTGTGGCATAGTGGTTTTAGTATCGGACTAGGACTCTGGAGACCAGGGTTTGAATCCAGGAAGTTGGTGATATCAGGCCAGATTTCATGGAGGTATGGGACTGTTGTTCTGCAGCAGCAGAATAATCTCTGTTGAGCTAATTTATAGCCAGTAGTTAATAAACTAAGCTGGCCTTATTAGCTCACTGTCCTGTATTTAAAGTGAAGCAGGCAGTCGCCTGACCTTTTGCACTCTGCACTTTAACTTATATCATTTTAGAAGGTGAAGTGCCTTTGCCTTCTCTTCTTCCTGATCTACAGCTGCTGTCTGGGGTAGACTGGGCTCTGCATCTGCTTGTGCCATGGCAGGACTGCCAGCCTCTTCCAGCTCCAACTGGTGCCCATCATCCTGGCTCTCATCCTTCTTTGTTCAAGGAGGCCACCTCCAAGTGGGATAAAACACCCTTCCCCTGGACTTCAAGCTTCTTACATGTGGGGAAAGGTGATAAGAAACAATGGCTGGCATCTCCTAATTGTGTAGTGCAATTCCTGCTTCCATGTCAGTGGGATAGTGATTCCATTCCATGTTTTATTCTGAATTTAAAAGGAGATATCCAAGGTGCTGAATCTAATTTTGGGATAAATCCCAGGGCTTTGGGCAACTCCTTTAAAATTTTAAAACTGATAATTAGAGCAGATGCATCACCTCACTGTCAAAGAAGGCACCAACCACCATGGAGTTGCCAGTTCAAGCAAATCCTGAGAAAAGCATATTTGAAGGCAAAATATGCACGCCACTGTGTATTTGTGGGGAAAATCCACAGAAAATGGGAAATAATAGGTTAATAATTGAAGACATGTGCAACTGATAAGAACTGGAAACAGACTGAAGTAGTCCTTCCTCAAAGAGGACTTGGCCTCAGCATGTCTGGAAAGAAAGGTGTGAACCCCCCCCCTTCCAGAATGTTTTGAACAAAAATCAAATAAAGATGAGCTGTCCTCTTTCCTTCTCATTGATTTACAGGGATTGCCCCAAGCAAAAAGACAGGAAATTAGGAAAGAAAAAAAATTGGAAGGCCAAGGAGGCACCACATTTCAGTTGAGAATGGAGACATTCTCATGCAGCTCTTCAGTACCCATATTTCCAATAGCATGGAAGAGGGTACATGGATTTATTGATTTGTTGGCCTAGACCCTACACTGTGGTTGCAGAGTCTCTACATGTGGAGTTATCCATTAGTCATGCTACTAAGCAACCCTTGGTTCAATGGTGATTTTAGGCAACTAAACCAAGAATGACAAATGTGCAACTAGATGGACATGTGTGTGCTGATCCATGCTTAATGCACAATGTGTAACTGTGCACAATTTGCATCTGTGGTCAACATACATGTACTTCCATGCAGTAGCATTACTAGAGTTGGTGTCATCTGGTGTGAGGAAAGGGCTACTGGAGGGGAAGTGGTGGCAAACTCTCCTGCCCTCCCTCACTTCCCCTGTTGCCTCAATCATTTGCCCATCCAGCCAGACCTGGAAAGGACTGCAGGTGGATGAGCAAGTGAAACAGTGAGAGGGGACAGAAGGGATGGCAGGACTCCTCTGCCGCCTTGGCTCCCTTGGTCAAGAGAGCCATGGTAGTGGAGAAGAAAGGGTGATCTTCAATGTTCTGCTGCTGCTGCTGCCTGGCAGCTGGTTGGATGGAAAAGGGAAACAATGATAGTAGGAAAGGGATGAGTCAATGGCACTACTGCGGCTGCCATCACCAGACCTCCCTTTCCCAGATAGCCAACTACCCCACCAGACATGGAAGGGGATGCTGGGTGGCTGCAACATTGCACCTCCAGCAGCTGGTGGAGGGCCCAACTGGGTGTTACCCCTCTCTGAGGTGCCAACCGGTGCAGTCCACACACCCCACATGACTCAAGTGACACAGCTTCATCCACGCACAGTGGTGCCACATGTGCAACTGTCCTTCCACAATGTTGGACTGAAGGTAGCCATTTTGCATTGCATAGAAATGACCTGCTGCTTCTGCAGGGGAACCCTTGCATGTATAAGACAACAACAGCATCCAGGGCTTAGTATTTATACTAAGGGAGAGAAGAACAAGCAGGTACAAGTCCATCACACTTAGGTCCAGCAACTGAGGAAAGACCTCCCTACCCATAAGAGCATGAAGTCCAGATTTTAAAATTATCTGACCACACATCTGCCTCAAGGGATCTCCATCAGGGGACTTAAGACCATGCCCTGATGTGAGAAACATTCTTCTGTGAAACTAATAGCTAATGTTCTTGATATTTTTTTTAATGTTATAAAGATAGCAATTTAGTGAAGACAGGAACCAGAAGATAAATGCTGTTTCTGGTCAGGACAGTTAGAATACACACACTCATTCAAGCAATCCCAGGCATCCAAAATAAGAACTTTGTGTCTCTACAAAAGACAAAACGGGTAGACAAAATAGCCAATTGCTTGTGTGTGTTGTGTTATGCAAACATCAAGAACACGATGTGCTGTTTAATTTCACTAACAGCACGTGCATTCCTCAGCAGAGCCATTGCGGAGCTTGGCTTGGTTTACACTTAAAACAAGTAGACCCTTGAATTTTCTCCAAACCCTACAGTGCTTCTTTGCTTTAGGACTTTGTGCTAAGGGTTGTATCCTGGATATTTGAAGGATCAGGGCACTCTCAGGTGAGACCCATCTGAAGCTTTGACCTCATGTCATCTGGCAGAGAACTAGTCTCAGAAAACTGGAAGATCATATGTCTAAATATATACCCTCTTATGCCTTTTTATGGAGAAGAATTTTTCAGCAATGAGAGGAGGGTATTGTTTACCTTTTTTTGTCTTTTTGGAAACTCAGATTAGTTGTCTTGCATGCTGGAGAAGACCTCTGTTTTCTCTTTTCTTCATTCCAAAGAAATGGGTGACTGAGGAATAAAAATGCTCTTGCCAGCAAAGCAAAGGTTAGTGTGTTTAACTGAAACAAATCCCTCAACAACTGCATGTCAATCTTTCTACAAAAGTCCACTAAACTTTAGAATGGAAAAGAGACCAACTCCAGCAATTGTTTGCAATTAGGTTTTAAAAGTGGGAAATTGGAACAATGGTTGCCTTCTTTATATTGCACTGTGAATTCCAGATCTCATGCCTGGAGGAATTTTAGGGTAGCAGCACTGCCTTGAAAAGTGTACATATATACCGGTATGTGTATGAATGTACATATTTCTCATTTGTTTGACTTTCTATTGTTTTTTAATCTGAATGGCATACCCCGTGAAATTCTGACTCACACGTAACATATCACATTTGATGCCAGGAGATTAAACTGATCTGCCCTATATTTCAGAAGTGGACAATTTCAGAGGTTGAGAATGTTGGAAGGCTATATTGCCCTGTTGTTATCCACTGAGTCTCCAGGGGAAGCCACTGACCATTTGGACACATTTTGGGGTATTGGGGGCCCTCCCATCTTCCAAAGGTCTTACTAACATTTTGCAAGCCAGAAGTGATCAGACTTCCTAGTCTAGTCATTTCTTGCATTAGAAAAAAAGGCTACATAGTCCCCCCAGACTGAAAAAAGGATGTGTGGGGCAAAATGCCTGGAAAAAATGGCAAACAGGGCAAAAAGAACACCCTTATATTGTGTCGTTGTTGTTATTGTTGTTGTTGTGTGCCTTCAAGTTGTTTCTGACTCATGACGACCCTAAGACAACCCTGTCCTGGGGTTTTCTTGGCAAGATTTGTTCAGAGGAGGTTTGTCATTGCCTTCCCCTGAGGCTGAGAGAGCGTGACTTCCTCCTGGTCACCCAGTGGGTTTCATAGCTGAGCTGGGAATCAAACCCCAGCCTCCAGAATTGTAGTCCAGCACTCAAACCATTATGCAACACTGCTACCATTATCTATTTTTTGGGGAAGGGAAAACATTTTTACGGTACCTCCACCAAAGTTTGGGAACATAGAGACATGGGGACCTTTGGGACCTGAAAAACAGCTTGGGGAGGCCTCAAGTGACATATGGGACACACTTTGCAAAGCTTACCATGTCCTACCTGGATGAAGAAGGGAAAGAGGAAAGCCAGGACGATGCTGGAGCTGAAGGAGGCTGGAAGCAGAGCCTGGTCCATCCAAGACAAAAGCTGCAGATAAGGAGGAGGAGAAGCACAGAGACATTTCAACCTCCTGAGCAATGTATATTAAAGCACTGGGAGCAAAAAGGTCAGGCAATGCTCTGCTCCATTTTAAATATAGGTCACTGAGCTAATAAGGTTGACAAGTGGAAAGAGCATTATAGTAATAACATTATTATTATTATTATTATTATTATTATTATTATTATT